ATAAGAAATATATTCTAAGACCTTTTCAAAACTATGTCGTTCCCCCGAAAACGCAATATCTCATCGTCACAACCCAGAAGAGTCTCTTTCTCGTCGATCGGTGCTCGTACTCGCTTTGGAAACAATTGAAAGAGGAGATTTCTTTCCAATCGCCGATGATGTTTCAAGAAAAAGAAGAAGAAAACCCTCCGCCACCTTTACCCATCCCTTCCTTAGATGATAAGAGGAGCTGGACCAAACCGTCATGGCCCGAAACAAAATCGACCCGGCAACGGAATGAAATTGAAGTCATCACAATTGAAGATGAGGAGGAAGAAAAAAAATTACCTCTTAAAAAACGGTCGACTTACCGGAACCTACCTGGCGTGCAAGATCCGCTTCAGAATCCAGAAGCTTCTTCTTCTTCTTCTTCCCCGACTTGTTCAAACAGGCAACCTCTTTCGGACTCCTCACAGACAGAACCTCTTCCAGTATCCTCTTCTTCTTCTTCTCCTCCAACCTGTCCCGACATCGTAGAGGTAGAATGTCAGACGGGTCCACAAGCTTCAAAAAGTCCCGACATCGTAGAGGTAGAATGTCAGCCGGGTCCACAAGTTCCAACGGGTCCAGAAATCATGGAGGCAGAATCACAGCCGGGTTCACAAGTTCCAACGGGTCCAGAAATCGTAGAGGTAGAATTTCAGCCGGGTAAACAAGTTCCAACGGGTCCAGAAATCATGGAGGTAGAATCGCAGCCGGGTCCAGACATCCTAGATCCCTCCACTCATCCCAAAGAGACTCCAAGTGTTTCAAGACAGCCTTGTGAGGATCCAGCCCTTCCCGTATGGAATGATTATATGGACTTACAAAATTTGGTGCAACAGGAAGGAGAAGAAAATAATCATACGGATGGGTGGGTCAAAGACTGTTTAGATCATTTAACCTCGAATGAAATTGAACTGTTATGGAATTGCATTTCTGAAATCACATCGGAAATGGGATAAAAACCAAAACAAAAAAAAACAATTTTTTTAATAACAAATTGGAGGAGGGTCATGATGTCAATTAAAAAAAATATTATATAGAGTCCAATCTTGGTGGTTCACTTCAGTTTTCCAGCATGAGGTGATCCACGTTTCCCGAAATATGGATCCCATTCCAAGAGAGATTGTGTAGAGCCTTCACTTCAGTTCTTTTTTTTTTCCTACCAAGAGGAGAGGGTCCCCAAAGGGCTACCCATGTCCAAAGAGAGAAAGTGTAGAGCGTTCATTTCAGTTTTTTTTCCAAGTTTAGGGGAGGGAGGTCTCAAAATGACACCCCCCATTTTCAAAGAGAGATGGTGTAGAGCGTTCATTTCTGTTTTTTTCCAAAGTTAGGGAGTTTTCAAATGGCTACCCATTTCAGAGAAAGAGAGAGAGAGAGAGAAGGTGTAGAGCGTTCATTTCAGTTTTCCAAGGTTAGGATGGTGGTGGAGAATCCTCCAAAATGGCTACTCATCTCAAAGAGAGAGAGAGAGAGAGAGAAATGCGTAGAGCGTTCATTTCAGTTTTCCAACATTAGAAGGTCCCAAAATACCTTCTGAATTCAAAGAGAGATCGTGTAGAGCGTTCGTTCATTTCCAGTTCTCCAAGATCAGAAGAAGAGGGTCCGCTTTTCCCAAAAGAGACAGCGAAGTGCAGACTTCAGTTTTCTCCCTCCCCAAGAATAGAGGGTCCCAAAATGGCTTCCCATTTCAAAGAGAGAGGGAGAGGCGTTCATTTCCATTCTCCAAGATAGGGTCGTCTGCTTTTTCCCAAAATGGCTTCCCAATTCAAAGAGAGAGAGAGAGAGAGAAAGGGTGTGTAGAGCGGTCATGTTCATTCTCCAAGATAGGGTCGTCAGCTTTTTCTCAAAATGGCATCTCCCCATTCAAAAAGAGATCGTGACCAATTTTTTCCAGTTTTTTCCAAGATGGGGGGGGGAGAGAAAACCTAGGATGGAATAACACGACACACAGAGAGAAAGAGAAAAAAAACGCCATCTTGTCATTTGATAGGGTACCGGTGTTCGAATATTTTGTTACGTATCAATTATTCGTAAACCTAATCTAAACAGTTTTCAAGTTTATACATGCTACGTTTAAGAATTTAAATATTAGAATCATTCTTGGAGATATAAAATTTTAATAAACATTGTCCCACTAAGTGAGCAATAAAGCTGAAAGTCTTCATGGCGGCACAGCTGCTCACCCAATGATCTCCTGCCTCCTGTCTCATTTGAGCGCCCTTCCGGGGGTCGACTCAGGTAAAACCTAAGAAGCTACTAATTAGGATCAGTACCTAAACAGTCTCGGCCAGCCACGAGTGTTTAAAATCAGTCTCCACAGGACTGGAGTCATCGCTAGCGATGTCTGTTTCAGGCTCGGCAGGGACCATATGGTACTGCTTTGTCAGTTCCGTTGTTTGTGGTGGAGCTATATAGTCAGATATAATTGGTTGTCTGAGGCGAAACACCTCTATCGGTAGAGTAGGCGAATTCAACGAGCCTTTAACCCTTAGCCTGTCGAGCGATTTTCTGCGAATCCCTTTAAAACTCTCGCTGGTTTTGGACCGAACCTCCCGTAAAATGTCGCGAAAATAACCCTAAAACTCTGAAAATTGTCAGGCAGTTCTTTTGTTATTTCCCATCCCTCCCAGAATTTTACTTCAATGATTCCGCTAAGTGAGATTGGTTACTAGATATTGTTCCGTAGATGTTAGCTGTCAAGAGAATTGCAAAAGACTAGTATCTCCGTGATGACCGCCTCAATGCCTCAGGGTACAGCTGCGAAACTTAAAAGTTTACTTCCCTAAAACAATCTTATTTTCAAATAAATTGGTCTTAGAATTTACCCGGTTAAATTTTTAATTATTACGAATTTTAACCTAAGTATCCTAAATCTGTATGTCACTGATTATCACCTGAATCTCAATCTCAATACAGACTGATTAAACTGCTGTCACTAAATTCTATTCTGACAAATATCTCTTTCATTCCTTCTGAGATATTGCTGAAACATTTCATATTATTTCCGATTTTTTGTCTGTATTTTTGTCATTAATTAAAAATCTTTCAAACTTTCAACATTTTCCTATATTCTTCAACTGCATGCAAATAATTTCTTTTTGCTCTAATTATTACGTAGTTTTAAGAGTAATAAACGGAACATTGTTACTTAAGGGTGATAATATGAATATTAAATTTGCATTTTACCTTTTTATATACATTAAAGATATTCAGAAAGGGAATTATAACCTGAAACTGTTTTCAGTGTATCATAAATTTATTGTCAATTTAAAAATTCTTGCTTTCCTGTCCAAGAAACACTAGTAAACTTTATCTGAAATAGGAAAGATGAGACATATTAATAACAAAGAAAGCAATTAATTTGGAAGTCAAACAAGAAAAGTATAATTTCTCAAACATATAAAGCTTAAAAATGTCATTTATGTTAATTTATTTCAACAGTTACGCATATTTATATCATTCAAATTTTCTTTGATTTATGAGCTGGAAAAAGATCAATTTAACCAATTTTCCTGTATGCCGAAATATGAGAATTGTTCCGATAACGATATGTATGAATTCAAAATTCGAGTTGCTTTTGTGGAAGCAGAAGTCTTATTGTATGATATATTTTCTAAAAAATGATGCAAATGCTAAATATTCGAATTTCCTTTTACGTTAAAAATAAATACCATTGAATAGCAAATTCATTGATGAATTTAAACTTCAGTAATTTAAAACTTGGTAACAATTTTGTTTAACAAGCTTAGAATCAATTTATCAGAAAACCCAAACTTTTAAGATTTTAAAATTTGCATTTTTTCTTCATGTATTCATAAGCAGGGTTTAATTTCTGAAACCTGAAGTGCCGGAGCCCTATGGAAGGTCGTAAGGAAGAAGGGGGAAAATAGATAAATAAAATAATCAAATGACTAATAGTTAAATAAAATTAAAATTCAATTAAATATAAAGAAATAAATAAAAATTTAATAAATTATTAAATTAATGATAAATAGTTAAATAAAAGAAATAAAATACTAGGCCTCATCTTATTTGGACCTCTTGCTGGACTACCATTCAGAAACTAAGCAATAGCTTAGCTGGACTCCGGCGGAATTTAAGCCTGATTATACAGTATAATGCACTATTTCAAGGGATGAGAGAAACAAAAAACCATTCTTTTTTGAGTACACTAATAGAGAAAAGTAAAACAATTCAAGTGACACTAATGAGAATAGAATGAATGCTAGAAATAATATAAGAGCATGGAAATTTTTAGCGGAGAAATGTAACTTCGAAAATAGAGAAGGGTCTGACCGCTATTCCCTGGCGATATAATTCTAGACGCTAAGGAGAATGCAACTGAGCCAAAGAAATTTTCCCCGAATCTAATCCGATAACAATATGAGAACAAACGTAAGGTCTGCTCAAATGACAATTCTTGTTTTCCATCTGCAGAGTTCTTTAGTTAGAAATTACTAGCCCAGGAATGCATGACCAAGGCAATCACTTCCAGTACTTTCCTGAACAAGACATTTTAGCCGTTCTCATAAATTCAATGCACTACCTGGAGGCGTATTTCCGAACCCTACCCCACTTTTCATATTTAAATTACGAAAATCTCACAATTAGCACTTACAGACACGAGTCAGCATTGCAATTCTTTCGAAAGCGCACAGTAGTAGTCAAAGTGGGGTATGCCATCTTCTATTTGCCAGGTGAAATTAGTTGATATTTCCGTGACGCCAAAAATTCGAAAAGTGGGGTAGGGTTCCGGTGATATGAATCTTTGGAAAAAAAGTAAATTTTCGGATTTCAACTCAGCCAAACAAATTTTATTACTTCATTGTGTCTTTATATTTCAAAGTCACTCGCTAAATTAAGAAATAAAATTGTATTTGATTAAAGCTTAGCAACAGCACATTTTTAATTTTCGCTCTGTCCTTTTTTTTTTGCCCAATATCCTTGTAATTTTTTAATTTCCAAGAACAATTTTTATTTTAGGTTAGAGCAAAGCGTTATGACTCAACTCGATTGGACAATGAGCATCGGATGTGTGTTTATGAGCGTTGGATTGTGACCCGTCTTTCTCTTTTTATAAATCAGGTATGTTAAGTTAATGGTTTAGAATATTTCTCTTGTATTCCGAAATTCCCTTCAGCACAGCTAATAATTTTTTGTAGTCTGCTGTGTATTAATTAATTCGTTTGCAATCCATGTTTATGGAATGCTTGGCCACATTTTACTTATTTTGTGTGAAATTGCTGCGAAATCTGACCTTAAACTCTCTCTCTATATTTTTTTTTCCTTTTAAGTGCGTTTTAATATTATGGGAAGTAAATTAAATGTCGAAATAACACACATGAAATTGGAAAGCTATAATTACTTTACCCTGACAGTTTGATAAGCATTTTTACATGCAGTTGCCCTATTTCCTTTAAAGCAGTGATGAAATATATGCAATATTTTAAACTTGCGTTAAGATTTTTATGTACGTATCTGACAGTTTCGTAAAGTGTCTATCCTTAAATAGGGGTGATGCATTGTAATTTTGTTGGGAAGCGTATTTTTTGTGGCAAAAGAAAATTAAAACTTTTTTAGAGTTATATTGACGTATAGTTCGTGTGTCGCATATCTTGCTGTTCTGTTTTAATGTATCATTTTAGGAATTGTTTAAATTTCTTATTTGTAAAAATGTATTTCTACGTAATAGTCAGTTAATTACTTATTTAGGTGCTACACATTTATTTTATTTGCAGTTGGGGGGGATTTTGCTATAAAATTCGAACTTTCCTAAAATGCTGTATATAACAATTGTTTTAATTAAAAAAATAAAGTGGTGATTGCAGGTTTGGTAATAATATATATCTAGTTCTCAACATGTAAGTTGGGCATTTTATGACCTTGAGAACATTAGCCAATCTCAGATTGGTAGAGTCAAACTGTAACAAAAGGCTCTTGGGAAAGTTTAGTTAGGGTATGATTTCCTCTATATATTATGATTCTGCTACATATATATCATATTCTGTTATTCTATAGTACAGTACAAAGTCTGACATCTGGACACCCAGTATCCAGAATGACTAATATAAAGACCTCTAAATCACAAACACCATAAAAAATGATAAGAAATTCCTCCTGACAAAGTTGAGGAATAGGGAATATAATACTCTGCATAAGGAAGCAGGTGTTTGTAAATGTGTTTTTTCTTCTGCTTAACTGAGATTCCTGCATGTCACTTTCAAACACCTCCTAGTTAGAGTCGCACTGTGGCTAGTGACATATCCCTCTTTTGCCCCTTGAATGGCTGTGCGAGGTTAATATTTTTCTATCTGACATAAACAATTAGTAAAGGCCCAATGTTGCCAGTGTACATATCATCTTATTAGATTTAAATTGGTGATTTAAAATCTGGAATAGCCAAAATTCCAATGATTCTGGATCTTGTTCTTTATTTTGTATTATTATATGATATATTTTTTTTTAATGATAGGTATCAACAGCAGTTTTCTTTTTGGCTAATCTTTGGAATATGGTAACAGGTAGTTTGGCGACATTTTGGTAAGGCGATAAAGGTTACTAGCTAGGACTTTAGCAGTGTACATGGATAAAGTCAAGATTGTGCGCAATGCCATTTTTGTGCAATTCTGGGATGTTTTTTTAAGTGAAAATAGGTCGATGTGTACATGGATACCGTGTATGTGCAATTCTTAAAAAAATGCTGCAAGCAGTTTGCGATTCTGCACTTTCTCCTGATTTTGCACCTAATCTTCATCATGATTAAGCACTTTTGTTCCATAAAAGTTCTAGCATAAGTGTAATTCGGCTAGCAGATTGTTGGAAAAAATGTTGAGGGGAAAAAAAAAAAAAATGCCTTTACTTCGTGAAAACAAAATGGCGTCCCAAAAAAAAAAAAAAAAAAAAAAAAAACTAGCAGGTTGCTATAGCAGGGTTGGTCGCCAAATTTTCGCCAAAAAATCACGAAGTTACCATGATCCAAAGATTAACCTTCTTTTTTTTTTCTGGGGGGGGGAGGGATTATAGAATCTTGCAAATGTGATGAATTAAAAGTTTAAAATGAGCACTTTTCATTTTATATTTTTATATATTTAAATTTAATAAGTTTTTATGATTATATAACCTGAGTGGCATGATTGATCATGAGGTTTATTGTCATTTGGTGTATATTGGCATATTATTTAAATTATGTTTTTTATTTACTTTAATGATCTGTGCGTTAATGAATGAAAATTTATGAAAACGGAGAATAAAATAATTAATTATAGAAGTTTATCAAATAAATGCTGTATAAATACTCGGTTGATCTTTACATTATGGTAACTTGGTGATTTTTTCGCGAAAATTTCGCAACCAACTCTCCTACAGAAACCCTCTATTTTTCCCCCCCGCCGCCATTTTGTCTTCACGAAGTAAAGACATGTTTCTTTTCTTTTTATCTACTGAACACTTCTTCCAACAATCTACTAGCCGAATTACACTTATGCTAGAAATTTTATCAAACAAAACTGGTTAATCATGACAAATATTCACTGCAAAATTGGGAAAAAGTGCACAATACCATACTCCTTACGCGTTTTTCAAAATAACACATACACATAAACCATGTACACGCCGACTTATTTTTACTTAAAAAATCATCCCAGAATTGCACAAAAATGGCATTGCGCACACTCTTCACCATATCCATGTACACTGCCTTTTTCTCATAAATTAGAAAAATTTCACGAAAATACATGACAATTTTCTCAATCTTTAAACCCAGTAAAAAGAACATATATGAAATTACCTGATCGCGAAAAAGTATTTACCCTTTACAAATATGAACATTTCCACATATAAAATAAATAAAATATCCAAAAACTTTTACCTCTAAATCATCTATTACATTATACACGTCACCATCGAATTCGTACCGCAAGCATTACAAATACTTAGTATCAAATATTTAAATTATTTCCATGCACGTTTATTTCAACTTAAACGTATACCAAATTCCTACAAACATAAAATTCACAAAATAACTATCATTTAATTAAAATATTGCTAAACCATGTACACGTCGACTTATTTTTACTTAAAAAAAACATCCCAGAATTGCACAAAAATGGCATTGCGCACACTCTTCACCATATCCATGTACACTGCCTTTTTCTCATAAATTAGAAAAATTTCACGAAAATACATGACAATTTTCTCAATCTTTAAACCCGGTAAAAAGAACATATATGAAATTACCTGATCGCGAAAAAGTATTTACCCTTTCCAAATATGAACATTTCCACATATAAAATAAATAAAATATCCAAAAACTTTTACCTCTAAATCATCTATTATATTATAAACGTCACCAACGAATTCATACCGCAACCATTACAAATACTTAGTGTCAGATATTTAAATTATTTCCATGCACGTTTACTTCAACTAAAACGCATACCAAATTCCTGCAAACATAAAATTCACAAAATAACTATCATTTCATTAAAATAGAATTAAATTCAAAAACAGTACTTAAAATATAAATGAGCACATACATTAAATTAATAAAAATTACCTTACAATCCTAATTACTTTAAACTAAATCATTGCTAATAACAATTTTCCCAATAATACCAAATTCCTTTCCACCTTACATTTAGAACAATGCATAAAAATAATATCCTCAAATAATTAAAAATACTAACTTACCTAATCTTCTTCAGAATCTTGATTACGTGGCAGATACACTTTTCTAATTCATTCAATAAAATTATTGAAAGATTTTTTTCTGCGAATTTTTTCTCCATACTTCCTCCACTAAATAAAAAGCAAACTTCTCTTTATCACAATGCCTAAATACCCATTTCGAATTCACTTTAGTTAGGGCCATGGGATCCAAAAATTAAACAACACTGTTTCACACAACACACAGAAGCTAAAGCTAAAATGCTAAACGCAAAAAAATTTCCACATTTTTTCCCGATTTCCCCCCTTTTCCGATTAAAGAACCATAATTCGTCCATTAATATCACATGACATATCCCATAATCTCTCATTTCCCTCACGCAAAATAATGCGTAATCGGAACTGAGTACTGCTCACATTATTACCAAAGTCCCAGGTAGTAACCTTTATCGCCTCCAAAATGTCGCCAAACTACCAGTTACCGTATTGTAAAGATCAACCAAATACTCTTCTGAAAAATTGTGTGGCGCAGAAATTAATTATAGTACATTTGTATCTTTTTGATTATCCCCACCTCCCTGAAAAGAGTTCACTAGGCAATGTACTGTGTTGCCAAAGTGTATTTATGTGGCAATCCAGATATGTACACGTGTACAGCAGACAAGTGCTGTAATTTTTTTTTTTTTTTCTTTGTAAGGAGTTGTAGTAGGACTGAGGGGGGGGGGTTCTGGCTGATGAAAAAGGATCATGTTTCTTTCAAATACCCAACAACAGAGAATGTAAAAATTCACGTTCCACGAAATTTTACTTCTTAAACTAATTTTATGGATTGAAGTTTGTGCATGATGCCAAGTATGGGTAATTCTCTGATGTGTTTTTAAGAAAAAGCAATGTATTTATTTCAGACTTTTACAATTCTGTGATATTAAGTAAAAACTGATCACTATGTGCATGGGGAGAACAACACAAAAAATTGCATAAGTTTTTTTTTGAAGAAGGTAAGTGTTCTGTTTTTGGTGCTTTTTGCCTTTTGAAATTTTAGTGAGTCATTGCCCTGTCATGGAATTCGTAGCACGCACCAGTTTTCAAAATGGGTGATGGCTTTTGCATATTAGCTTGGCAGAAAAGTTAAGTTTTAATCACATTATGTTTCAGCTACACGGGACTGGGCATCAAAAAGGACAATTCTCAGAAACCGCATATTTCCAGAAAACCCTCGTATCTAGGTTACCATAAAGACTTGAACGTCAAACGTTAATCGATTGTCGCTCATATTGCAATCACGTGATCCTTCAGAAGCAGAACTTTTGTCTGATTGCTTGATCTCTACCTATAACAGAGGTCTAGCCAAGACATTTTCGGTGAGGTTTGAAAAAATCTTGCGTAGCTGCTACATCGTTTCCGAAGCTAGGCGGGACTTC